TCTTAATACTGGACGTGGTATGAGGGATAGGTGGTGTGAGGGATAGGTGGTGTGAGGGATAGGCGGTGTGAGGGATAGGCGGTGTGAGGGATAGGCGGTGTGAGGGATAGGCGGTGTGAGGGATAGGCGGTGTGAGGGATAGGCGGTGTGAGGGATAGGTGGTGTGAGGGATAGGCGGTGTGAGGGATAGGCGGTGTGAGGGATAGGCGACGCTAACTCATGCTGGGTAATGGAAGACAAATTGACCCTATTTGGATATTACTTTTTTTTAAAACCTCGAATATTCCTCCTAAAACTTTGAATACTCCTCCTAAAACCTTGAATATTTTTCCTAAAACTTTGAATACTCCTCCTAAAACTTTGAATACTCCTCCTAAAACTTTGAATACTCCTCCTAAAACTTTGAATATTCCTCCTAAAACTTTACATATCATTCTTTTAAGAAATAAAACCATGTACTCCTCCTCTTACATCCGTTTTTGTATTAAGTAGTTGAAAAGAAATTGGGCTAATAAATAATGTTTTCTCCCAAATTATGACCAATGTACAAAAATTTCTGCATCATTCATTAACATTTCGCTCGTTTTTGGATTGGGTAACTCCCCCCTCTCCCCTCCCACCCCAGGAGTTCCGGAATTCTTCAAAAATTTACTTTCCTTAGGATCTCTTGGACCACAACTCCCCCCAACCTTGGAATTTCAGATATTCATAATTTCTTTTCTGAAATTCTCGTATCTATATTTTGTTTCCCTAGGTATTACTTGATGTAGCAACGTTTTTCCCCTGAATTTACGGGATTCAAAGGTGTTTTTTTTTCCTGAGAGTTCCTGGAACTTAAAACTTTTCTCCAAAGAGTTCCTGGTTCTTAAAACTTTCTTCCCTAAAGTTATTAAGACCTTAAAACTTTTTCCCCTGAGGTTCTTGTAACTGTATACCTACTTTTCCCTCAGGAGTTACGAGACATAAGGGGGAAAAACCCCACTAATTCTTGAACCTTGGAACTTGTTTTCGTAAGAACCTTATTCAATCTAGAATCTCTGGCGTGTGGAGGAACAAATGACTGCCTGGGGTAGTGTTAAAATAAGTGGGCGTGGGGATGTGTGGAGGAATAACTGGGCGTGGGCGTGGAAATGTGTGGCGGAATAGATAGGTATGGTGGGGGTGAGAAAGAGGGAGTAAATTTAGCGAGTGGGGGGGTGTGAGTAAATGGGCGTGAGTGGGCGTGAGTGGAGGGCGTGCTTTATCAGGTGGGTCAACATATCGCAAATGACATAACGCTCCGGTCACAACTGGGGCATGGCGTTAATTACACCTGTACGTATTGCGCTCATGAGAGAGAGAGAGAGCAATAATAATGATACTAATACGTATATAGGAACAATAAAAAAAAAAAAAAATAAAATAAAAATAAAATCGATAATAAAATCAATGTATGGATAAAGGCCAAAAGCAGGAACTTAATTAAACAATAAAGAACCTTATCAAAATTTCCTCACACACACACACACACTCTTTGCCCCTCTACACACAAACTTACACAAAAACTCTCTCTCTCTCTCTCTCTCTCTCTCTCTCTCTTCTCTAACAAATCGAGTTTATAAAAAATCCGCCAAAAATACGAGTGAAAAACCCCGACTGACAGAGAGGCTCATTAAAATATTTCCCACTGGGTTTGAGAGACTTTACAAAAATCAGTTTATGTCTCGTATGAAAACAAAGATAAAAAAAAATAAGAGACGAACTTAAAATTTTTTGTCGTCGAAAATTTTGCCGTTTAATTTTTTATTTATTTTTAGCTGTCTTTTTCATGTACACTGAAAGAGCCTCCGATTTTTTTTACCATGTCAAAACAATCACACTTAAATGTATTATATATATTTTTTTAAGTCACTCTTGATGCACTTAATATTCTCTCTACGTATATTTTCACCCCGCTTGGTTTAATTTTTCGGTTTAACATAAATACATACGTTCAACATTTAAAAAAAAAAACCACTCGTTTAAACTCAACTTTCAGTAAAATCATATTAAGAATATTTTTTTAAACACAATCATGCGAAAATGTTTGATATCTAAAAGTAAAGTTATTCCAGTTATATATTTCAGTTTCTCCTACACCGTGTTAGTCAGGTGTAAAAAGGTGTACACGCTGACTTAATAAATTTACATTTTAGTTGTCGAATATTTTTGGTACACATGACATGATGATTTATCTAATGTGTATACCACTGAAACTAATAAATAAGTAGACACGTAAATAATAATAACAATAAATCGAAGAAATAAGATGAATAATAATAATAATAATAATAATAATAATAATAATATTCCTTCACCCGTAATATCATCCCCAAATATATTTCGCCAACATAAAATTAAACCAATTCACAAGACGGGTTACGGGAGCATCGGACGGTCGCTCTAAGACGCTGAGAAAATTACGTGGCGAGAAAAGTTGGCGTCTTTAATGGCCGTCCGTCACCGTCCCCTTTGTGACCGTACACAAAACCATGTATAAAGCTAATGGACGGCAAATAAAGAGCTAGAGCCTGATGCCAAATACAGGGTGGTGGGTAGGGAGGGTGAGAGGTGGGGAGGTGAGGCATAAGAGAATAGAGGGGAGGAGGGGGAGCACAGGAGGAGGAAAGGGAGGGAGGAGGAGAGGGAAAGGGTGGACGGAAGGGAGAAGAGGGAAGGGTAAGAGAGGTGAGGATGAGGAGGAAGAGAAGGAAAAAGAGAGGGAAATGGAGAGGGAGTGAGGGAAAACAGACGTGGCACTGCTGAAGTTGGTAGTCAGTTGTAAAAGTTTAGTGATCAACCAAATCTTGATGAATGGTTTTGCACAGCACAGCACAACACAGCACAGTACAGCTCAGCTCAACACAACACCACACAGTACAGCTCAACACCACACCACACAGTACAGCTCAACACAACACCACACAGTACAGCTCAGCACACACACCACACAGTACAGCTCAACACCACACCACACAGTACAGCTCAACACCACACCACACAGTACAGCTCAACACACACAACAGTCACAGCTCAACACCACACCACACAGTACAGCTCAACACCACACCACACAGTACAGCTCAACACCACACAGTACAGCTCAACACCACACCACACAGTACAGCTCAACACCACAACACAACAGTACAGCTCAACACCACACCACACAGTACAGCTCAACACCACACCACACAGTACAGCTCAACACCACACAGTACAGCTCAACACCACACAGTACAGCTCAACACCACACAACACAGTAGACAGACTAGGAGACATTCACGATACAAAAAAAAGTTAAGTTATATATCCTGAGTAAGAAATAACGTAAAAACAACACGATTCAATAACCTTTTGATGCCAGTCCAGTGTTTCTTTCTTTTGTCTCTCCTTCACAGACACATTAGTAAACAGACCAGGATAGTGTCAAGGCTTCAACAGCTGGGAGGGGAACTGACCACTCTGCAGGCTTCCTTAAACAACCGACACAGTTCGTAAAGTTGATTGGTTTGGGGTTGTTTGAGTGAGGCTCTACGTTTCGGCAAGTTAGCAATCATTTTTTTCCCCAACTTTCATGCCTGTTAGGACGGGATTTCTTTAGGATAAAACGTGGGGGGGAAGGGGGAGGGAAATTATACAACCTGGGGAAATTCTTGTTACCATGTTACCAGTTAAATTTCGACGCCATTTTAAGCTAGTATTTTCGTATTGTTATTAAACCGACTTAACTACGTTCTTTCATCTCCACTTAAGGGTAAAACTTAAGGTATTATAGAGAATCCGGGTTCAAGGTTTCGTCAGGGCTTCAGTTGGAGAGATTTCACACTCACGGACTTTGAGGTTAAAGAACCAATACTCGTGAACTAATTCTAAATTCATGATTTATTTGGTAAAAGAAACTGGAATATGAAGCAGTTCTGAATCTACAAGTTCATAAAGGAAAAAAAAACATTACCAACTAAATGCATTCAATAATATATTTTTTTAAAGATAAATTGTCGAACACACACACACGCCAAACACAACCTAGACCTACACACACAAACACTGACACCTCCCCCCCCACACACACACACACAAAAGAAAAAAATAAATAAAAACATCAGGAAATGTCGTACCAGATTATTCCGCACGACAGAAGAGGACAGCAACTAAAACACAGCGTGGATACAGCCAGGGAGGACAAGACTGACCAGAGGCTCGTACCAGCACTCACAGCCTGGCCCATGGTTCACTACGTCTGCTTAATGATCCGTGAAACAGCAGGATTCTCTACGTACTACAACAGCCTTCTAACATGGACGAAATATACAGTGTTGGGTGGCTATACAGGACGACGATAACCCAAGTGTATTTAAATAGGATCTTGTTTAGAATTGAGTCTAGAAATGGTTAGTATAGTGACTGACTGACTGACTGACTGACTACTAACAGCAACACCGTCTCATTCCAGAAAAAAATCTCTAACATAGAAACAGTGGGAAAAAGTAAATGGAAAATATCTGGAGCAAGTCATTAAGAGAGATGTAATCTGGCCTGGGGGAGTGTAAAACACCTGAGCCAGAATACACCCGGGTATAAGCAAGCAGGGGTGTACTATGGTCTGCTACACCGGGAACACTTCTCACGCGTTACACGTATAAAGGAGTTTATTGATACCACGTAACCATCCTCATACAGGTTCATTCTGTACACCTGTGTTACGAGATGCAGACCTTTAGAGGCGGCTTGTAATTCACTTGTAAACGATCATTATGGTATACACAGTCCACCTACACAGAAGCTATGGGACCCAGCACCTCTACGAACGCTACGAGATCCACTACCGCCAGCGTGACATGATCTGTAACGAAGCTTAAGTTACAGATAAACCACCTCTTGGCAGAAAACGTAACCAGAATCCTCACTCACACTGCAAACACCGTCACCAGCACACAGGGTAAAGACAGACACTTCCTCACCACACGACATGTAATAAGTCAAACATCCACAATACAAGTTGAAGGAACAGCGTCAACAGCAGCTTCAACCTTTGGTAACAAGAGCTGACTCGACAGACTTGAGGAATCAAGACTGCATAAGCGATGGTGAAGAATGTGTAAACTTGTGGAAGCTGAGATCAGGCGCCTCTGACTCCATGAGGAGATGTGTGCCGGGGAATTCTGAAAACCCCGGATACACACACCTGAAGGCTCCTGCTGGTACATGAAGCAGAGACCTGAAGCCTCCTGAAGGTTTATGCTGATATATGAGTTATCGTAACAAGAGACAGATACCTAAAGTCTTCTGCTGACTTATGAGAGCCAGAAACTTCACGGGCTACAGTAACAAACCGTCACAAACGCCACAGACTTCAGAACCATACGTCACAAACGCCACAAACTACAGAAACGCACGTCACAAACGCCATAGACTACAGAAACGCACATCACAAACGCCACAGACTACAGAAACACACGTCACAAACGCCACAGACTACAGAAACACACGTCACAAACGCCACAGACTACAGAAACACACGTCACAAACGCCACAGACTACAGAAACACGTCACAAACGCCACAGACTACAGAAACACACGTCACAAACGCCACAGACTACCAGAAACACATCACCAAACGCCACAGACTACAGAAACACACGTCACAAACGCCATAGGCTTCACAAGAAACGCACACTCTGAAACATAGACTACAGAAACACACGTCACAAACGCCACAGACTACAGAAACACACGTCTGGAAGCATACAGACTACAGAAACACACGTCACAAACGCCACAGACTACAGAAACACACGTCACAAACGCCACAGACTACAGAAACACACGTCACAAACGCCACAAACTACAGAAACACACGTCACAAACGCCACAGACTTCCCTTAACAGAAGACACACAGCACTCAAGGACTTCGTGAAACTTAAGATTTAACGCCACAAACTTCTAGACGCAAGAGGGAGACACACAACATTAACTTATGAAAGCAGGTAACTCAGACACGAGAGATAATGGTTGTGTGGTGGTAACAATAACAAATGGTGATGGCAATAGCAGAACACAACTCCCCTCAAATCACCAATCACATTACTACTACTACTACTACTACTACTACTACTACTACTACTACTACTACTACTACTACTACAACTACTACTACTACTACCTCCTCACCTCTCTCTCCCTCCTCCTTCCAAGATCAAATTACCATTCAAGAAATATTCGTCCTATTTTCTCTCGTGGTGGATATTACGCCTGGCAAAAATATCACCCAGCTTGTGAGGTCTGAGGGTTAGTGCCGGGCCATGGGGAGATTACCTTCTCTCGCCCTGCCTGCCATATTCCCTTACCTCCCCTCTCCCCTCCCCACTCCCCTCACCTCCCCTGACCCCTTCAAAAAATTTTACTTGAGTTGGGACAGAATTTTTGAATTTTGTGTGGAGAATATATATACTTTTATTTTTCCTTGTTTCCATCTCGTAAGTGTGGTACGATCCTAATGTATTACACCACTACTACTACTACTACTACTACTACTACGCTATCACCACCACCACATCACCTCACTCATATCACCACAATACTGTCACTATCACCACAGCAATTTCAAGTGCCACACATCTCAAAAAAAAAAAACCAAGAAAAAAGAATTACAATATTGTGTGGGTATTTTATTTATTTTTTAATCGATCCTTCAATTTAAAACTACGTCACATTCATAAACCTGAAAGGAATTTGGTCGTAGTATCACACAATTCCCATAACGGCCAAAAAGGAATTAGAATTTCGTGTCGGTAAATTTTATTCGTTTTTATCCTTCCACCTCAAAGTATATCATAGTCGCAGTGCAAAGTCAGTTGATCATAAAATTGCATTCAGGTCTCACAAAAAAATTGGTAAAAATCTTTGATGGCGAGGAAGAATTTCGTGAGGGATAAGATTTAGAAATTTTATATTCTTCCCCCTTGAAACTATCTGCTAGCTAACGTTTGCACAACTCTCTCTCTCTCTCTCTCTCTGTTTCGATCAACTTTATCCACCTGCTTCTACTAACTTTATCCACCTGTATCTATTAAATGATTTGTCCTATTTATCTATCTATTTCTCCAAAGTCCTTCTTGAGAGCCAGGACTCACACCAAACACCAGGTTGCAGCACACGTCTTGCATATTTCCCACTCATGTCCTACGAGCCTTGGACACGAAGCAATGTGTTCACAAATACAGATCTACTCGCTGGTGGGAAACATACCTCACCAACACCACCGCTGTAATGTAAAGGAAGGTACCAGTGAGGCGCATTACAGTACCTCATGTCAATAATAACCAGAACAACAGCGACTTAATCTCTCCTTTTTCAGTCGACACACCTGAAAGGAAATTTCTCCCTAATTCCACATGACCTCGGAGCAGTGAGTTTGTGCAGAGTCAAGACCAACGACAAGAGATAGGTAATGATTCTCGACATTCATCAAATCTGCTATAGTGATCATCTGTCTACCAGAATACATCTTCTCGTTACCAATTTACAGACTCAGGTACTCCTCTTAAGTGGTGGTTGGCTGCCTGAATCTCGTGTCACTTACTAAAAAGATTAAAAACGACTAAATAAACGAACACCAAAGAGATGATAATACAACGACGAATCGATTATTTAATGGACCAACTCTTGCGATCATCTCACTGTATGATAATTACTGTACTCGTTCAGTCTTCCTTTAACTTGTTCGCATGGTGATGTTTGTGTGTAAGTTGAAGCATCTGGGAAGTAATAGAAACACTCAAGACGTGGAAATTCCTGCACCAGCACTTTATTCCTACACCTGTTCTTACACTGATATTCCTCAAGAACTTCGTGAATCTGAGAAGTTGTGACGGAAGTGTTGACCGAAAGTTTCTGTCCCCCACACGACGCCAGAGTCATTACTGAGTACTCACCTCAAACCATACTTACGTGTGTGTGTGTGTGTGTGTGTTGAAGCTCACTGTAGCTGGTTGTGGCAGTGTTGTAGTGATGGCAATATGGTGTTGATGTGAGTGGTGTGGTGGTGGGATTGGTGTGGTGGTGGGTTGGTAATTGCGTCGTGGTGGTAATTGCGTTGTGGTAGTGGTGTTGGCGCTGGTAGTGGTGTGATGGGGGAGGGGGAGGGTTAAAGAGAACCTCCCGCCACACCACGGCGACAGGGCTCCCGACTCGCTAAAACCTTCATGCTTCCTCGTTCGATCCTGCGTGTGAGGCACCAACCTGGCCTCATGCTAAAGGGCATCGGTCAATCCGCCTAGCTCCCCCCCCCTCCCCCCTCCCCCTCTAAACCTCACGGGTTCTTACATTATATCATCCTGTCATTTCGGTGAGGCTACATCACGTTCATTTCCCTCCATCATGCCACGGAACAAAGCTGACAGTCAAAAGGATATAAAAATTGCATCGTGACTTCACCATAAGTACCTGCGATCGTTTTTTTTTCTCCCAAAGGCCATGGAAAAATTACCATAAGAGTCTTTCAGAATCTCAACAGGGACGAATAACACACACACACCTTCTCTCTCTCTCTCTCTCTCTCTCTCTCTCTCTCTCTCTCTCTCTCTCTCTCTCGAGGTGAATCCAGCTCCCATAATAACTTTAACTCATAAATGCAGAAAAAGACACTTTTCATTTTACCCCGGCTAGAATGAGACGTTTCGCTTTTCCACCATGGAGAGAACTGAGACGATCATTCTAGTGGTAACCCAAGCCGACACCAGAGGAAGACTCGAGTAGATTGCCATGATATTACGTACAATAGACTGACATATTCCTTATTGTGGTGGACGGTTGATCGACTCTCAGCTAAACGGGTGATAACTTAGGAACAAAAAGTAAGACCAACGTAGTTTATCGTCGGGAATTTACAAGTAGTGGACGTAATCTCTCTCTCTCTCTCTCTCTCTCTCTCTCTCTCTCTCTCTCTCTCTCTCTCTCTCCTCTCTCTCTCTCTCTCTCTCTCTCTCTCTCTCTCTCTCTCTCTGGGAACGGATGATGGTAGCTTTTACCTTAGAGTTTAACACATACCAACACACAAACACTAAGTAAACAACAAATCCCCAGACACACACACACACACAAACACACACACACACACACACACACACACACACACACACACACACACACACACACACACACACACACACACACACACACACCCATACAGACCCTACCCCTCACCAACCACCACTCCTATACCTTATAAATTACATTCTCTTCCCAAACAAAACTATATAAACAAAAAAGACTGACTCAAACTTTCAAAACACACAACGACTTCCACCCCTCTTCAAAACTTGCTTTAATTTGATCTCCAAAGTTTGGGTAACAGGAGAATGTAACTTGAGGCGCCAAATCTGCTTCCGGCGACAAAAAACAAAACAGAGCCTTATAATGAATCAAAGACGCAATGGTGAAGAGAGAGAGAGACTAACTCACTAGAATATTGAGGCAGAAAATCGAAGGAGGTGTAGTTGGAGGTGGTATTGGTGAAAGACAAAACTGGGTGTAAGGAAAATAGGTGTAATCTGATAAATGTGTGAGTAAAGGATGAAACAACAGAGTGGGGAAGAACAAGAGGGTGTAGTAGAGGTGTACAGGAGGAGAGGTGTAGGGGAGGTGTGGTGATAGTGCTGGCTACAGATTGGAGGCAAGGGCGTAAAAGCACATGGTGTCAGCTTTAATACACTTGTGTTTAAAGGAAGGAAAGAAAGAAACAAACAAACAAAGAAAAGAGAAAGAGACAAACACAAATTACTAACTGCATTCAGGACCAGGAGATGAAACACACACACACACACACACACACACACACACACACACACTTTTATTTGCCTAACATTCACGGGTAAAAGATCTTCACTACTATCGGGTTTCCGGCACCAACAACACTCTTTGACCCGCCAATACACCACACACCGTCAAACTACACCATCTGTTACATCAAAGAAAGTTACCCAGCCAGACGCATCACACTGCACCATCCCACCACCACTCCCCGCCCACAGTGAGTCTTTACCACTACCACACGCCCATAGTGTCCTTGCCACAACCACCCCACCAAACAAATTAACACCACACCACTCAACCATCTGCCTTAAGGTAAACAAACACCAACCCCAAAACCACCTGTTAGAGCGCTCACCACCTGTCTCCACCACCTGTCTCCACCAGTATACAGTGGGGGTGATGCAGGTGGTGGCCGTGGACAGTCAATTATGGGTAAGGAATTAACGTCACCGCAATGGTCGACGTGAATTAAAGTGAGGTAGGGAAGAGGAGGGGAGGGGAATAAGGAAGGGGAGGAAGAAGGGGAAGGGGAGGAAGAAGAGGATGAAGATGGGGAAGAAGAGGTGGAAGAAGAGGAGGAGGAAGAAAGCACAGAGGAAGGTAAATGGGGGTGGGGGAGAAGGGGGGTAGTGGCGCTGCTGTAGGGGAGGGGGAAGGGGAAAGAGAAGAAGGTAGGTGAGGGAGGGAAAAGAAGGTAAGTAGGTAGGGAGGACCTCGTCTTCCTTCCCACACTAATGAGACACACGACACCTGGCGATTTGTCCATGTCAGTCATTCCTCTCTCTCACCCCCCATTACTGCCATGATGCTAATATTACTGCCATTATCCCCCCATTACTGCCATGGCATCTCTCGGACTGAAAGAGTGAGTGAGTAAGTGAGTGAGGTGTCATACTCCCAGGTTGAAAACAATAAGCACAGGTACGACAAAGAGTGAACTACCCGGCACCAAAACTGCATCAATATTTCAACACGGGGTCGAGCCACTAATTATCACAGGTAAATTACATATCAAGTTCTACATAGATCCATCACAATAAATAGAACGTTCATGGATATACGGATAAAACAGAACGTTCACAGGCATCCAAAGATCAAGGAACGTTCACAAACTTAACATTAATAACTGATCGTTCACCTGGAAACAAAACATAAATGAGCATTCACCAAAAAAGTACACATAGAAAATTGAACGTAAGCTATACAAAGAAAACGAAAGGTTACGAGATTACTATGCAAATCCGATTTTGGGAGGGGGAGTGAGATGAGTGGGAGAGGTGCGTGGGACGGGAGGAGAGGGGTGCGTGGGAGACGGGAACTTTTGTGTGAGAGGGGAGAAAGAAGCGTGGGAGGGGTAAATATGGAGAGAGAGAGAGAGAGAGAGAGAGAGAGAGAGAGAGAGAGAGAGAGAGAGAGAGAGAGAGAGACGCATAATAAATCTCTTACACACTTATATATATATATATATATATATATATATATATATATATATATATATATATATATATATATATATATATATATATATATATATATATATATATATATATATATATATATATATATATATATATATATATATATATATATATATATATATATATATGGCAAAGTCTTCTCATCAGCTCACCATCAATCCCAGCCAACTACTGTACCATTATTCCCGCCAGCCGCCGTCATTGCATCCACCCCTAGCGTCCTCCTGCCACCCACCGCCCACCTCCATCCACCTAGCGTGGCTCCCTGCCTACCGCCCACCTCCATCCACCTAGCGTCCTCCTGCCACCCACCGCCCACCTCCATCCACCTAGCGTCACTCCTGCCACCCACCGCCCACCTCCATCCACCTGGCATCCTCCCTGCCACCCACCACCCACCTCCATCCACCTAGCGTCACTCCCTGCCACCCACCGCTATCCCCTACAGGAGTATTCAACATTCAGCTTCCTCCCTTCCTTCCTCTCCCGCTTACCTTCACTGAGTATTCAACATTCAGCTTCCTCCCTTCCTTCCTCTCCCGCTTACCTTCACTGAATCATCTCAATTCCCTAGCTACCCCCTCCCTTCTCCCTCAGCTGACAAACAAACATACCCATATTCTCCTTGCCAACACTCACCCTTACAAAATTACTCTCCCTTCCTCTCCCTGCTAAATCTCTTCTCTACACAATCACTCACTCACTCTCCCTGTCTCATCTAACTCTCACCCCTAACACCTTTTACTCTCTCTCTCTCTCTCTCTCTCCCTTCTTCTCCAAATCACCTCTAACTACCTACAGTACACCACCATTTCCCCTTTTTCTCTCAGGTAATTCTCACCCCTCTCTTTCTCTCTCTCACCCACCCCCCCATCTCTCCTCTCTCTCACCACAACCCCCCCACCATCTCTTTTTCTCCCATCTCTCTCTCTCCGTACCATCATCATCATCATATCAGATTACTTAACGAGACCAACTACTCAGAGTAATGATGTCTCGTAAAGTCCTCGTTATAAGAGTAGTGTATTATACGAGCACTTCGCAAATGTCTGTCTGCCTCTGTCTCTCTGTTACATAAGTCACCGTCATTATGGGTTTTAAGGAGGGTTTAGTTTCCCTATTTATTGCTGTTCGGAAATAATAATAATGATGATAATGAAGATAATGATAATAATAATGAATCTTATTCGAGTCTTGTGTATTGTAACTGTACACGAACTACCAACGACAAACTCTATCAGCCAGATTAGTAAAGACGGGTACTGGGGAAGAAGGAGAGACCACAAGTAATAAAATTTACTTCCTGGTCGTTCCGGAAGGTCAAATACGCAAACCTGACCTGACTTGACCTGACCTGACTTGACCTGTCCTAACCTGACCTGAACTGTCCTTACCCTATTTTGCCCTGACCTTGTTCTAACCAAATCTGCATTGGCTTTGTTCTAACTTGACCTTGTGCTGACCTGACCTCACCCTGTTCCATAATTGGTACCTTTGATTCATTTGGGTTATTAATCACAAAGACACACACTAAGATATGACACCGCGAGTATATGACACACAAATATATGACACAGTATGACACACAAACATGACACCAATTGCTACAAGTAAAGTGTAGTTATATATAAAGTAAATCTGTCTACAACTTCTGGGAGACAGGTAACACAAGCCACCTGAGAATGCAAAATATGTACACACACACACACACACACACACACACACACACACACACACACACACACACACACACACACACACACACACTTCCGCCCAGGTGAATAAGAAAATTTTAGTCCAAATTAACGCAATACCTGACCCTGACCTTAGGAACATACAGGTATCTTGGTTCACCAGTGTGTGTGTGTGTGTGTGTGTGTGTGTGGTGTGTGGTGTGTGTGTGTGTGTGTGTGTGTGTGTAAAGTTTGGTAACATTTATATGATGGTAAATGGACACATTAACATACAGACAAAAATATGATTCTGACCGCCATGCTATACCATCAAAACATCAGTAATACTTACAGCTTATAACCCAGGATACACAGAGCCACAAAGACACTAATTTACACAGGTACTCCAGCCACTGGGCGAGATAAAACACAGGTGTACTCACGGTCTACAGCGGACAAGGACACCCCCTCATCCTCAAACATACCTGTAAAAAAAACGAGAAATTTGGTTAATAATTCGATAAAACAATGATGTTAAAGATCCAATGTTTGTCCTCAGTGTTAATTAAATCATCATAAATTACCTTAATGTGATTATACACTTTCATTAAATAGTGACATTAAATACACAATTCGGGATTATTATTAACATTACAGCTATACTTGACTAGATTACTATCATACTAAATATTGTGTAAACTATTAATAAGGAAAATATCTTTCCAACATGCTGAGTAAAATTTATACTAGATAAATCACTATATAAACTGGTCTATTAATTTATATATATAAATTAGATAAAAAACATGTTCTTAATCATAAGAAGGTGCCTTCCTTTCCCTATGAAAAATATTGGTATAAAAAGAAAATAATCAGCAAAGTTTGTACCCATGAGGAGGTATCGTAAGTCACACAACTGTGCTTACGAAAAAAAAAAAGTTATGGGACTTTTTTATTTAACCTCAAAACTCAGATTAAGTGACGATGAGTGAGATGATTTAAACCACTTCGAACCATACCGTAACCCCGATCAATGCTTAAAAAAAAAATGATATAACTTTGTCTGATAGATTAACAGTCCCACATGAGTACAACAATATCACTCGGATATAAAATAAAAACTGACCCCCATGAGTACAAAATAACACGTGATATACGATAACTTCCCTTTGCTTGGGATTAACTGACTTATCGTAACCAAAAGTGGGGTGAGGGAACAAAATCTCTACTCTAACGGGATAGGAAGGCTCCTAGGTGAGGGAGAATATTGTACCTACCTTTTGGTGAGACTGCTCATAGGGGTAGTACTGAGCGAGCTATGAAGAATGAGACTGAACATTAGAGAATATATAAATGGCAATACACAGACAACATTATCAAATTTCTCCTTAAGTGGTGTGAGGTAACGACACAGCAAACTCTGGTGTGTACAAGTGATCCAGCGATGTTTACACTCTTATGGCCATATACGCCCAAAATTCGTCCACATACGCCCAAAATTGGTTCATATACGTCCAAAATTGGTTCATATACGTCCAAAATTGGTCCACATACGTCCAAAATTGGTTCATATACGCCCAAAATTTGTCCATATACGTCCAGAATTGGTTCATATACGTCCAGAATTCATCCATACACAACACAACTCAAACTGAACAATATTATTTGATTTATCCTTAACTGCAATGGCTTCTACAGTAAACTTGGGTACATAAACAGAAGCCAAACTCTTAATGTCTCCACAGTATCCTTTCATTTCCCGCCAGCTAATCACTACTCCATGTCTCCAGATAAGACTGACATCAGGTGCAGTAAACTCTGATAACTGGGCACCAATCACTGAGGCCTCTACAGTAAACTCTACAAACTGTGAAGCAAACTCTAAAAAATAAATTATTGTTCTGTATAAAAAGAAACTTGATAAGGAATAAATTTGTATATTTATTAAAATTGTGGAGATAATTTATTATAATTTACTGATTCCCTTCATAATTATTGTACGTGTGAAAGTATACATCAATCACACACACACACACACACACACACACACACCAAACTTTACTCTCCCGTTACGTCACAACACTGGAGATTTGATGAAGTCGAATGTAAAAAAAAGTTTGGTGCAGTGAAGGAAAGCAACCCGAAGCAACCACAACACAACCCACCACCATCACCAGTTAAGAGAACGTCTGGCTGTGGTAGTTATGTTAGTAGTTAACGACTGAGCATAATTATATATATACCGTACACATAATACCCAAGTGGTACTAATTTGTGTTATTTGTGTCTTGTGTTTTAATATGTATTCATTTCTAATACATTTACTTTTACATATACAACTCTAACTGGTAAGAGAGCTACAGGAGGAAATATTAGTGAACTTGCTCGGGTTGTGCCTTCATACACTACAAGCTAAAGTCCTATCTAATGGCTTAATTAATGAATAAATGCATTGACAATTACTGTATTTAGTAGTCTAATAACTAGCTTATTATGAGTAACTTTGTATGTATACTGTATATAATGAGATTGGGCCATAATATCTTAATATTGCCAAAATGTGCTTTAGGAGATGTTAATAGTTAGTACTAGTCTAGTAGCATGAAAAGTGGCAGCCAATAAGTTTGGCCAGGTGAAGCACAGCCACGCCTACCTGAGAAAACCTCGACTGTGTGTCCATAATCTCGAAGAAAAGTTGCATCTTGCGGTGGAATGCCTGAGTGCCCTGGGCAGGCGAGGGCGGGCTGATGGGCAACACACAGGTTGGGAAGCCATGGGCTGTGTGTCGCAGGGGCAGCTGACGAAGCTGTCCCCGACCCCGAAGATCTAAACTGGAGAACCTCCGGGGGGCGGGGCCAGAGGGAGACACCAAGAAACCCCCGGGGTCAGGGCCTCGCTGTGGTGATACAGCAGGAGAGCTGTAGGCCGAGCGGCTGCGGTAACTATGAGGCAGCGACCTTTGGCTAACGTGGCCGCTGGGACGCCCAAGACCATCTGGGCGTTTGGGCGTGCCCCCGGGGGTGGTGGCGGGGGTACTGTTGGGAGTGGTGGCAGAGGACCCCCTCGAGACAGCGTGACCGTCACTCCGTGAGGGAGACACAAACCTAGCAGGTGTGGAGGTCCCGCTGGTGGCAGGGCTGAGTCCCGTCAAGCGACTGAGGCTGCCCACACTGCTGCTGCCCCCACACTGGTACAGCGTCCGTCCGCTGTTCTTGTCTTGTGGTCTAGCGTGCTGGAGACGGTTCTCTATGGTTCTTAGTAGCGCCTGGCCATCCGGTAACGTTGATCCGCAAGTGCTGTTACTGACATTAGCAGAGCTGTTGGAGGACGAGTAGCTCCTAAGGCCGTAGTCCGATATTGACGACGGCAACGACTTGTAGCCACTCTCGGGGCTCTGTAAGCTTTTGCTCAATGACTTGTGTGTCCGTTTTTCACTAGTACGACTGTCCGATGTCAGACTTTTTAGTCGTATTTCTTCCAGCTTGGCGCGCTGAAACAAAGCTTCCAGGTAAGCCAGTTTGCTAACGTTAATCTCGTGTGCCGCGCGGATGCGGTTCAAGCCGTTGTTAAACCTCGTGTTTTCACTACTGGGCGACTCTTGCCCATAGTGGGTCAGCGGCCTGAGGGCGTCATCCAGGGTGTGGTCACCGTTCAAGACGGGCGTCGTCTGTGATCTGGGGAGAGACGCCCTGATTCTTCTCGGGGCGGGAGCTGGCTCTATGTCATCATCACCCCGGGTATCCTCTGACAGCGGCGGGTTGCTGCTCTGCTCGGACCCGGAACTCTCCTCATAGCCGGGACTTGCCTCCTTCCCGCTCGTGGCACCCGAAGTGGCGCCAGAGTCCTCGGAATCCGACGACCGTTCGCCGTTCACCAGGCCCAGGCGACCGCCGCCGTTCTCCTGCTGTCTGGCCGTACCGTTATACTTGAGGTTGTTGTTGTCGTAGCCGTCGGCGATGCGCTTGGAGCTGCCGTTGTGGAAGAGGGCGAGGAAGCTGGGCTCGTCACCACACACGACGGGACTAGGCAGGAGGCCGCTCATGCTGGTGCGGGAGGGGGCGGAGGTGCCGGAGGGTTTCTTGTTCCCCTGGCGGTCCCCCGAAAGCCGCCGCCCCGTCTCCTGGGTCATGGGAGCAGCGTGGCGCCCGCCGGACATGACGTCACACGCCGGCTACAACACGCTAACACTCACATAATAAAAGTTTCCTCTCCACTGTTGACACAAAAATAAACACACACGGCTCAGTCATTCACCTGATCGCAACAAAGACTTCCAGTGTTCTGTATATATTAACGACACACAATCAACCCAATAATGTTCAATATATCCTGAAAAAGAATGAATAAAATTAAGTCACAAATATAAATATCACACAAACGACATCAAACGATTTCACGCCGAAGAATACGCATAATACATACGCTTTACGGGGAGCTGAGCCGCCTTTTCTACACTCCCGACACAATGTCCCGTTAAAGTCTAGGGAATCAGCACGCCTGATTTTACTTACTCTTGAGACTTGGGGTAATTGTAAACTATAAAGCATTACACGCCCTAGTGACCCCCAACAAATTTCACCATACAGAGAAATTTCTTAATTACATCCATACCTAAAATCACTCCACCTTTTTCATCCCCAAAAGTCATTCCGCATATTTTACTTTTCAAACTTTAGAGATAAAAAAAAATAATAATAATTTCCATCACTATCTTATTTTTCATTTTAATTTAAGAATAAACTTTTCCTGTTGTTGTTTTAATTTGCATATTTGTTTCAAGGAATAAACAACAATACCATCACCTTAGTTTACTTCACGCTTTACTTCAGTCTGTGTGTTTGGTGTCGTTCTCTCGTTCAGAACATATTAGTGAGCCTCCATTTTTTAATTTGCTTAACTCTTTGAAGGCATGTGAGTGCGTGTGTGAGTGTGTGCATGTGTTTTGGGGGTTTATGCGTGTATGTGGTTTGTGCGTGTATGTGGTTTGTGCGTGTATGTGGGTTTGTGCGTGTATAGGGAAGTGTGTGCGTGTGTTATGTCGATGTATGGGTGTGTGTTGGTATGTGGAGGGACAGAGGGGCGTGAGGGGTGGCAGTGGTAATCAGGAAGTTAACAATAGTGGGATACAGTGGCCGGAGGCAAGACAGCGGAAACGACGAGGAGAAGTAAAGAAGTTACACGCGAGAAGGGTAGTGAGTGGGAAGGGACGAGAGATCAAAGGCAAGTGGGGTTGGTGAGAGGGATAGTGAGTGGAGAGCGATGAGAGGGGAATAAATAGTGGCAAAGTGGCCAGCAATGGGAAGTGGCAAACGAGGGAGTGGTGAGGAAAGTGTACTGGCACGTAGAACCCCTCCCTCCCCCTTCCTGCAATAATCAAGTGGTAGTGCCCCCCCTCCCCCTCCTGCAATAATCAAGTGGTAGTGCCCCCCTCCCCCTCCACTTAACCACCTACCATCCTGATGAGGCCGCCTACACACCTCACAATTAACACACAACAGATTTCCAAAATGTAGACATGCATTTGCAACATTCATATACTTGCTCCTTGCAACAGACTCCACAGGGTTATTACATAGTCAGGATTTCAATATTACCAATGAAGGTCTGCGCGTGAGGTTGCGTTGCTAGCTCTATACCCACCTCTCTTGACCTACTGATGGATAACTTTCCCCAATTAGCTGTAATGTTTTATATACCACGCTTCCTAACTACTTCTACACCAATTAAAGACCAATTCGGTGGTTGAGGCTTGTTCAAACAAGTAATATGATTTCAGTGTCTTCAAATTCACTGTGTTGTGTTACCATAGTTGTGTCATCAGTAAATTTTTGTATAGTAATCTCACAGCACTGGAAACAACGGTGTGTCGTAATCTCACAACACTCTGAACTTTAGTAAGTCTTACGTTCACAACACTAAACTTGGTGCCGTAAACTCACACCATGGGAAACTTTGGTTATGTCGTAAGTTCAAACGACTAGAAAACTTTGTGCGTCGTAAGATCACACTGAATATTGTTATAACACACACACACACACACACACACGCACACACGCACGCACGCACACGCGCACACACACACACACACACACACACACACACACCTCAATTTGTAAGTATTATTAACCTCTCTCCATACTTCCTTCCCTGACCATTATAACAAAGACATTTTAATTATTGACTTTTTTTTTGTTTACGTTGATTGTCTTTTGTTTTCTTCCCAACCACTTATGGAAAATTCCCTTACTTTTGTTATTAATTACTATATATATTTTTTCCTTTACCATATATGTGATTATTATCATATTTTCTATCCATTTACAATACGATATTTCATCACTTGTATCTATATATATATATTTTTTTTACTATACTTTTATTTTTAAACCAAATTATTTATGGACTTTCAAATTACTTTTTTTTCTTCTCTATTATCTTCTATTTTTAACGTAATTTTTTTATTTATATTTAAAATTATTTTTTTCCGTATCTTTACCACAAATATTTCATGACGCAAAATGTGCCCAGGTATTAATATGTCTGTCTGTCTGTCTGTCTGTCTGTCTGTCTGTATAATCGGTCGTCTATCAAATTCTCTAGTCTATTTGCTTGTCTGTATACCTGTCACCTTTATGTCTGTCTGTACAATCGTTTATCAGCTTAACTGCCTGCCCCCGTCTCTCTCTCTCTCTCTCTCTCTCTCTCTCTCTCTCTCCTGCAGCAATAAGCCAATAGCATCCATCTGTAGCTCCTAGTTCAGCAGTTAGCGTTCCGGGCAATTACTGCAATGACGGGTTGGGCGGCGCCGGCAATTTATCACACAGTACAAATATACCATCGATTAAATTGCTGTGTCAATTCTCGCTTTACGCTGCTGCAGAGAGAGAGAGAGAGAGAGAGAGAGAGAGAGCTTTAATTTTCACTATCACCTTTCTCCCATGTCCCGTCTCTCTCTTTCTCTCAAGTCTTTATTATTCACCATTCATTTATTCTCTCACACTTCCCCTTTCTCTATTCCCTTCACCCACCTTTCCTGTCTGTCTCTTTCCCCTTACGTCTTTATTATTCTCTCTCTTTCTCCCTCTCTACCTCTTCCACCTCCCCTCTTACTATCAATCAAAGCAGTACCTCAAAGGCCCATTCCTTTTACCTCTCTCTCTCTCTCTCTCTTCCATCTACTACATCTTCGTCTTCTTTGCTTTTCCTTTCTCCCACCTGCCCTTCCTCTTTCTCTCCGTACGGTCATTCATCACATCTCGTACATTTCTCCTTTATCCCTTCTCCTCTTCCCTCTTCCTACATTTCTAATATCATCCAGTTCTTCTTCTTCTTCTTTTTCTCCCCTTCTGTATTTCCTATAGACCAAGGACAATTCATCACTCTCTCTCTCTTTCTCTCTCTCTCTCTCCTTATCTATCCATTATCCACCCCCCTCACCATGTAACTCTCTCCCTCCTATCCTCCCTAACCTTCCTCACTCTACTCTCTCCATCCCTCCATTCAACTCTCCTCCTCACTTCCCTACACCCTTCTTCCCAAAATTCCCCCTTAGCACCGTTCCACCCTTCTTCTTCCTCCTTCCCTTCACCCCCTTACATTCCTCTCCACTCTTCCTTCCTCTAGCTTTACCCTCCCCCAACACTCTTCCTCTCTTCAGCCTCGCCTTTCCCAACCCCCACACGGTCTCGGCTGCACCCTCACCACACGCTACACATCTACTCCACATTACTAACAGAACTCGACCCGCTACACCATTATCCAACAACTCCTCCACGCGCCACTGCTGTTACCACCACCACCACCCATTATAACACCTAACACACGCTCACGACCCATTAACTCCATTAGATAGTACGCTCTATTCTCCAAACCCATTACACCCTATTCTAAGGAGATGTTTAATATAAATCCTTCCATAACACTAATGTATATATAGATATTCCAATCCGTATATCCCTCAAAATAATCTTTCAAATCATTAACACACAAACACACACACACACACACCTCGCATTCCAATTACAATCTTGGCTCATTAAAAGCTAAGTCCGGGTTCTTATATCATTAAATCAACTAAAATTATAATCATAGGCTAATTAACCCTCTTGTAGTGGCTGAGGCTACACCGTACTTATGAATACCATATAATTAAATCCCTACTTGAAAGATTTTTACTATTAATCCTTCATAAAATCCCTACTCAATAATCCCATACCATTATATTTATTTTCTTAATATATTTGTGTTATCAAAATCTGAGAGAGAGAGAGAGAGAGAGAGAGAGAGAGAGAGAGAGAGAGAGTCTGTCATCAACCTTCTTCCACAAGTCTTCTGTTAACTCCCTAAACACTCGTCCATCCTTATCCCTCTTCCCTATGGCTGAGTGGGTTCCATCCTTCCCTATCAAACCTAACCTAACCCTAAAAAAAAAGTATATAGTCCCATGTCTCCACTGTATTCTTCAAGACGATGAAAAGTGAAAAAAAAAAAATCACATGACATGACACCATATTGCAATTTATAGTTCCACAATATAACCAAAATGTACAGTCACGTTTCAGAATATTTCGTTCAATACGGTAGATATGGTTGATTTCACACACACACACACACACACAACACCTCCCCACACACAAACCAGCCACCCTCCCCCCCACACACACACACCCTCCCCCACACACACACCCACCCTCCCCACACACGGACACCCCCCACACGGACAAATCACCCCCCGCCTCCCCCCTTCCACAAAACAATGACCGCAAAAGCTCTTCACAATACTGGCGGGTAACGAGCCGAGGAAACACTAACGAGAGCAATATCAGAAGGAAACGCGACAACGATGTGGTAGAGTGAGGGTTGAAATAAACTCTTCCGCCACAGCAATATCCTTCCTGTCCTGCCCTGTCGGTTAGAAATCGCACTTGCAAGCAAATCTTTTACGACAATTGCAAATATATATGTTAAGTGAGATACAAGCGACTTCAGGAACCATCAGAGTGACTTTTGGGAACGATCAGAATGACCTCAGGAACATTCAGAGTGATCTTACGAATAATCAGAGTGACCTTACAAACAATCAGAACGACTTGGGGAACAATCCGAGCGATCAATATAAAAAATTCAATTATCAACCATATATAAAGAAGTTCAATTAACCATTTATAAGAAGTTCAATTAACCATATATAAAAAGTTCAAATATCAGCCATAAATAAAAAAGTTCAATTGTCAACCATATATAAGAGTACAATTATTTTTCTTAAGTTCAGGAGGAAAAACACCACAAGAGGCTTTGCAATTCCGGCGTCCAAACCTCGGGGCGAT